CCTGCTCCTTCTTCTGGTAACTCTGTACAATGACGACAAGTGGGACAAGAGAGGTAATAGGTCTCATTCTTCTTATCCAGAGGTAATCCCTCCAGACAGTGCTCACAGAATGAATGTAGACAAGGTAAAGTCTTAGGGTTGGTATAGTGGTCAAGACACACAGGACAGGTGAGCTGTTCCTCCAGTTTGAGGAGACCAGGAGAAGAAGATGAAGATGGTTTGGTTGCCATTTCAAGAAAAGAATTAAATTGTGTATGTAAAGCAAGAACAAAAAATGAAGAGAGATAAAGGTAGAAGATGGTTAATGAAGATAGAGCAAGAACAAACGATAAGAAAATGAAGAAGTCGGAATGAACGAGAATGAGAGTAGCCTGGGGAAAGATAGCCCTGATGACCTCTTGGAATATTCTATAGTCTCGTGACTACAGGAAGTTATGATAGTACATTCCTTTATTATAACAACCAGTAGTAAAGGTGAATTTACATTAATGAATGAGAATGTAAAACAAAGTAGAGGAGGAGGAGGAGAAGGGAAGGGAGTGAATGAGTGATGAGAGAGAGTCCTAATGACCAGATGAAACAATAAAACAAAATGAAGAAGGTGGAAGGATGAGAGAAAGACTAAAGAAGGTCAGCTAGACACAAAAAGTGGGTGATACCTTAAATATACTCAAAGATCTTGTGACTTAAGAAAGTTATGATAGTACACAATAAATTCAAGTAACAAACCACCACCAGTGGTAAAGGTGAACGGCAAAATGGCAAAAGTTTCAGCAAAAGTACTTGCAATTGTTTCAAAAATATCAACTTTATTAGTAACACCAAAGAGGCATTAAGTTGTAGATGCACATGTACATCTTTTAAGTACCAACTGTAGCATTTTTCAATAACACGTGAACAAATACAAAATCTGTCAAATACATGTGCTTTCCAGAAATTATCTACATACACATCTACGAATCCCCTATACCGTATAGCACTTTAATTTGGCGGAGTTTTATTTTGGCGGTTTGCAGTTTGCAAGCAGAATCGCCAATATTAAACTCACCAATCATTAATGCGCATGCTCAGTAATGCACATGTACACAAAAATCGCCAAATTAAAAACTGCCAATTATAATTTTACAGCAAAATCGCCAAAATAAAGTGCTATACAGTATATTCCTTACCAGTGTGCAGTCTCCCCACACTGAGATCAGACCCCAGTTCATCTTTAGACCAGTGACCCAATCTACTGTCCCACACCAGACCCTTTGGATCAGTGTAGAAATATGAGTCAGGGGGCCCCCTGAGATTCCTTTAATCCCAGTGAGCTGAGGCTTGGACAGCAACATGAGGCTCTGGTATAAAAAAATTAATTAAAAAAAATTAATAATTATTCTTTGTTGCTTGCCATTGCTTCCATTGAGCACATGTTGTAGTTTCAAGAATCATTTATAAGACTGAAAAGCAACAGCCACAAAAAGTAGAGTTGCTAAGCTGAGCTGAGCTAGACCAGCTCATCTGAGCTGAGATTATTTTAATTAATTATTCATGGCATCAGGTGTGTAATTATTACATTAATTAATTAACCTTCTGTTGTATCTGTGTCTGTCTGGAGGAGTATAAGATCTTGATAAGCTCCGCCTCCTTCTAGGAGAATAGCTTCGGCTACGTCTAAAACAAGAACAACATTTAAATTAACATTTTAAAGACCCTCCACTACATTCACTGAAACTATAAATACTGAACTGTAAGTAAAGGTACATGTATTATTAATAGTGATGAAGACCCTTTCCTAATAAGGTCGTGTGGTAGTTCCATGATACAGTAATACCTTCTTGATCTGACGTGAGGTGAAGCTGATCTTGATCTTCTCTCGGGTGAGGGGGACCTCTTCTTTCCCCTCTCCTCCTCCTCCTCCTCCTCCTCTTCTTCTTCCTCCGATAGTTCAGCATCTAAATCATCATCAAGAGCACTCACCTAATTAATTAATTAACTAATTAATTAATTAATTAATTATTCATGACTGACTCTTGGTTCAAGCTGCTCTGTTTCTTCCAAAATATGTCTCTTCTAAAAATAAATATAACGTAATATTAATTGATATTATTATTAATTAATAGTTAACGAAATATTATTATAATTAATGAACCTGTATTCGTGGTAATATCACATCACAGACTCTGTCCTCTCGCAGTAAACTGTCAACAAATTCATCAACATGAGATAATTCAAACTCTAAATAAAATAATAAATAAATAAATAAATAATAAAATAAATAAATAAATGAATAAACAAACAAATAAATAAATGAGTTATTTATAAACTTGCATTCTTACTTCCTTGTCTATTTTTATATTTTATTTTCCGGTAGTCATTATAAAGAGGCTCAAGGTATTTATAGCATTCAACAGAAGTACCAACAATCCTCAGATACAGTGCACCCAGGGCCCTCATGTATCTAAAAATAGTAACAACAACATAAGAACATGTACATGTATCAGATAAAATTATAAAGTGGAGAATTCTCTCCTTTTCAATTTTGACAAAATTTGGTCTGAGACCGTGGGCTATAGTACAGGGACTTTTTCATAATTTTGACGTTTTTTAAAATGGCCATAATTTGAAAAATTGAAGTCGGAATCAGCTCAAACTTGCTACACACCATAAGGACATCAATATGTATCTGAAAATGCAATAAAAAGTTGGGGTGATTTCGGAGCCATTTATTGAAAAAAACCATGGGCTATAGTACAGGGATTTTTTTAGAATTTTGATGTTTTCTTAAAATGGCTGTAACTCGAAAAATTGAAGTCGAAATCGGCTCAAACTTGCTACACAGCATTAGGACATCAATATATATCAGAAAATGCAATAAAAAGTTGGGGAGATTTTGGAGCCATTTTTTAGAAAAATCCCTGTACTATAGTACAGGGATTTTTTTAGAATTTTGCCGTTTTCTTAAAATGGCCGTAACTCGAAAAATTGAAGTCAAAATCAGTTCAAACTTGCTACATAGCATAAGGACATCAATATGTATCAGAAAATGTAATAAAAAGTTGGGGTGATTTTGGAGCCATTTTTTGAAAAAACCATGGGCTATTAGTAACGCGGTAGCGTTACTAAGTAGGATTCACCCCAAAATAAAATGTCTGCCACGACTTTTGCAGCCTTGCTATACCGGGAAAACGAGCTCCTGTGCTTACCAGACTTCATAGAGGACCTTATCTTGACCAGAGGACTCCATTGGTACTATTAGCGTGGCTCTAAACCTTGTCTAAGAGGAAAGTAAAAAATCGGCAAATCGGCCGTTTTGTTCAGTCCACTTTTTTCGTCTTCATCATCATCTTCTGTCAATCCAGTTAATGGAGGGTATCATGGTCTTTGGTCAATGCTACAAGGCTAATTTTTACACCATTCTACTCCAACTATCCATGCGCAGGTCCACAACTTTTCAAAAAACTCTAACAATAAGATAAAGTTGCCCTCTCTCTATCACCCCAGCCCAGCTCACCTCATTCCGCCATTTTTGTTAATTAAAGAAACATGACTTAACATGTGCTTCAAAATATGGGTGTGGTCGCGCATGCTCAGATCTCAGAACTGGGAAAAGGGAGCAATTTTTTTTATCTAGCTCTGCTTGGATCAACTGCAATACTTAGTGGAGGTTCCACCGTTCCAGGCTTCCAGTTTCAGCTAAGAGAAGGTAGTTAGTCTTGGATATTATTGTTTTATTATGTGTGTTCAATAAATTGTATTTTAAAAACACAAACAATAATATTAATTCATGTTTTACAATGATCATGCATGAACTTGCAACAGAAACAACAGTCAACAGGACAAGATTGGAGTGAAGAGATGGGTACTGTCACTTC